TTACGGTATTAAGTTATTATTGTGTCAAGATCTCTTATATGTTTTTTCCGAAAAATAAATATCTCTAAAAGATTTTAAGTTCAATACGTTTTTTTCTCCTCTCAATTCGGACCAATCTACCTAATTGCATTTAAAATAATTTGTGTATGTACTTCAATAATATCATTATCTATGTTGTAAATATTTAAACATTTAAATAGATAATTATTATATATTATTATATAAAATATAATATATAGATATATTATAAATTATTCTTATATCTAAAAACTTAGATAAGTATTATATTTTATCATGTTAAAAATATAAAATAATTTTAAAATAATGGAGAACTTACATGTATCAATTCTTACTTTTTACTTAGATGTATATATATTTGAATTATGTATATCAAATTTTGTCAAATTTGATATAATCTAAAATATTATTCTAATTAATGTAAACTCAACTTTTTACAGCTTAATTGATTTTAAATGTAAATTCATAAATATATATATACATATATATATATATGCAATATTTCTGCATTAGTTTCCAATGCGTCCTAACTGATGGAATATGGAGATGTCATGTAATTAGTAAGGTGGAGCTGTACCATCAATGGTGAAAGGGAAAAAAGAAGAGCACTAACATTGAAACAACAAATATGAGTGTGTTGAATTTCTTTCTTGAAACAATAAAGAGAAAGACTATAGTAATACATAAAGAGTATTTATCGATTCAGAATTAGATTGAACCGTCATATATTGTTCGGACTATATTTTGACCGAGAACCAAACAGTAATAAATTTCAGTTCGTTCACGTAGGAGCGAAAAGGAAAGTGCAGATACTTCATCCCAAGTTTCGGCCACATCGATGGCATGTGCTATCAGTTGTTGGTGCCACATTTTTTGCAGTGGTCTTCTGCATTTTTGGTAGATCAAATTCCAGAACATCGCGAAGTGTCTTTGTGCCTTGTTGGAGCTCATCGGAACTGAAAAATTCAACTCATTAAACCAACTTATATGAAATAACTAAACAACAGTAGATCAAAGATGATAGTAGGACCATTTAGAATGAGGAAATGGGATTAAAAAAGCTGAAAGAAAACAGAGGTTAAAGATCAGCCATATGTATACTTGCAAGTCTCTGTGTATCTATCTTTGTCTTGGTAAGTTTGAAGAAGATGCAAGAACCTTTTGGTTTACATCATTCATTTTTCCATAATCTTTGCTCCTGTTCTTTTTCTTTTTCCCTTCCATCATCCAATCCCAAGCCCTTCTTCAGTTTTGTGAGGAAATCTGAGTGGCAGCTCCATTTTTTTTTCATGTGACATTAATTCAAAATCATAAGTTTATACTTTTCAAAAATTAGTCGGAATGAGTTCTTATTTATTAATATATTTTTGGTTCACACGACCTATTGCAGCAAATGCTTGTCAAAAAACTTTTGTAACTAATCATGTAAGGGATTTCGGTTTATTATAAATAATCTTAGGTCATTATTAAAGAACGGAAAGTTTTAAATTTCAGGATTCATTCAAAATATTCAATAACTTAATTTATAATAATACTTTTCAACCGGTATATATATTAGTAAAAGGTTGTAAAAGAAGTCAAATAATTCAATGAAATGAAACCATTCTGCTTTCATCAAGTATTGTTCTCATACCTTATAGAAAGAGGAGGAGTTAACCGGACTATTGTATTGTGAGTTGGCTTTGCAAGAACCCCTCTTTCCTTCAACTTTAGACAGATATCAAACGCAGAAACAGGAAACAAACTCCAGCTGTTGAACTCCACAGCGCTAAACAAACCTCTTCCTCGTACTTCCTTAATGTGTTCTGGAAATTGCTGCCGAATCTCAAGAAGCTGATTCTGGAGCTCTACACCCAATTTTGCAGATCTGTAGTATATCAGAACATCAGTGAGTAATTTAATTATGGACAATTCTGTTTTTAAAGAAAGTTTAAAATATAAATCTTCGAGTTCTTTAGTTTTATTCATCTCCAGTTTCTGATAGGAATGTTTGTTCTTGGTACCACATTATAACTTTTGATTAATGACAGAAAGTTAAGGAGCATATTATGAAATAATCATGAGTAATCTCCCAGGTAATAATACTAATGAGGTGCTCTTCAGTGAAAGATTCCATGCTAATGGTAATTAAGAAGTCATTTGAAATTTTGTTAGTATTGACTACTAAGTTCCTACTCTAATATTATGTATATCCTCATTTATGTGTATCATAGAATAGATTCCTACATAAATTACAGCATCTATCATTTCTCATCCCAAGTTTCCTACTGTTGGATTCTGTATATAAATGATAAGGTGTAAATAATCAAGAAGGAAATAAGATTTTTTTTTCCTTTTTCTCCCGCTTGGCATCCGGCAAACAAGATGGTGTTAGAACCACTGCCCATGATTGCTGCACATCAACGTTGACACCATCTCTTCCTCTACTGCAACAGAGTTGCCTACAGCTTTGAACTAACTGAAGCCATTTTCTTTCAAAGCTTCGCACGTTCCTCTTGTCTTCTCTCCTAAGACTTGATTGCAGGTCATATCGCAAACTAGACTTTATTCTGAGAATCGTGCAATTAGACCTCGTAAACAGGAGGCTATGCATCTGTTGAAAAGCCATCTCAGTTCAGAAGCTTCGTGTGTCTGACCACCCATACTGATGGAGAGAGACAATGGACTAGGATCTTGCATTCTAGTGATGACAGACTTTTTTTTTTTACTTCGGTTGTATACAAAGAGGAATGATGCATTGGGTCTTGGCTTAGAGAGACGATTTTGGCTTCCTATACAAGATATACAACTATTTGTGTCCACGTGGTAGAAGATAGAGCTACTAAGGGTATGCCAAAAAACAGTGAGTACGTCAAGTTCATTGGGAGAACCCCCTGCTTAACATATTAGACCAGTAAAACCTGATGGAACCAGCTACCTTGCTTGGTCAAGATCTTATTTAATGTTCATCCAAGTCTGTAGACTCCAAGGATATGTTACTGGGAGATATAGGATCCTACATTCAATACAAGGAAATCTGAAACTCCCTTGTTATGTCCTTGTTGATTGACTTGATGAAGCCAAATATTTCCTGTGACCACTTGTTATTTCATACTAGCCATAAAATCACGTTACTTCCCTAACATTACTCTCAAGTTGACAATAACAAACATTCTCGAGCTTTGCAATAAGGTGCATGTAACCAAAGAAGGTAAGACGAGTATTATAGCCTAATCTTTTGCGGAATTGTCGGGTCTGTGACAAAAATTAGATTACTGTTAAGACTTCAAGGCTGGATGTCCAGAACATGCTTTTAAATTTCAGAAACGGATCAGAAAGGAAGCCTATGATCTAATGGCATGCCTTAATGTGGAATATGACCAAATTGGGTATAGGTACTTGGTACAGTAACTTTTCTGACAATGCCCCTGGGTGCTAAATATCAAGATGTGAAGACATGGAATCCTGTTGCTACAAACTCTGAGAGGAGGCTAACGGTGTGAAAGATAAGTTTGCTATCAAAGGGTAGACGATTGACTCTTAACAAGAGCACTTTATCCAATCTTTCTATTTATTACATGTCACTTGTTACCATACCAATAAGTGTTGCCAAGAAATTAGAAGCTATAAAGTGTAGACTCCTGTAAGTAGACTAGGATAAAAAAAAGAGTTACCACTTGGTGGCATGGGATGAGATAAAGAGACTAATATGTGAGGAGGGACAGGCATTGATATCTATGCTAGAGATGAACAAGGCGCTTCAAGGTAAGGGCGTGTGGTGTTCTATGAATGAGAGGGATGCTCTTTGGAGGAGGATCATAGAGACAAAGTGTGACACAATGGATCAATGTTGGTATTCCAAAGTGTTTGTGAGGCTGCATGGTAGAGGGATGTGGCGAAGATTGTATATGGGAAAAGACATGTTTCAGGAGTGTATTCAGGGGAAAATAGGTGTCAGCGATAAAATTGATTTTTGGTCGAATTGTTGGCTTGAGGGTGGTGTATTGAGAATCGGGTTTCCGCAGATTTATGCTATTAATCGATATAAAGACAAGTTAAAGAGGCCATTGGTAATAGTGAAGGTAGGAGAGAATAGCATGTGGAGGTAGTGCAAAACCTCAAAGATTGGAAATTACTAAATATTAAGTCTCACTGTCCACGTTGGAGTCGGTTGCTTTGAATGAAGATTATGATAAATCTGCTTAGAAACTCAGTACTTCTGGGCAATTCATTGTTAGATCTTTTTACAGGCACTTAACCAAGGAGCCCGTGGAGAGTAGTTTTCCTTATAGACAGATTTTAAAGATGAAAGCCCCATAGGATCGGATTTTTGCATGGGAAGCAGAGAGGGAGTGCATTTTGATTATAGATAAGTTAAAGAGGGAAAATATTTTGGTTAACTGGTGTTGTTATAAAAGAGCACAAAGGAGACATGCAACCATATGCTCCTTTGGTGTCCCATTCTCCATAATTTGTGGTCAATGATATATGGGTTGCTAGGAGTTTATTCCGGTATGACTGGTACTGTGAAGAGATTTTGGAATCAAAGGGTTGGCCAATGGAAAAAATGTTTGGAGCAACTGGCGATATTTGGAGGATTGAGTTTGCTGAGAAAATGAAATTTTGGCAAGATGATTGGTTAGACGGTGGGTTGCTCATGTTCCAGTTCCCCTGGATTTTTGTTCTCCATGTCATAAGGATGTCATGGTTCAGGAGTCTTTACTGTGATTCGGGGGAACCTGTTCGTGGATGGAGGTTTTAGAGAATTTTAATGATTGGGAAATTAACACGTATGAATCTCCCTCGTTGGTTCTTTCCAAACGTACCCTTACTGGGGCAAAGGATAATCCTATTTGGAGGCTCAACTTCAAGGGGCACTTTTTTGTTAAGACATTTTACCTGCGCATTTGTTGCCTGCAGAGCTTATCTAAAAGGTAAAAGCATTGTCTAGAGTGGTTTACTACGCTTAGGAAGCTGCTAAAGAGTGTATCTTAATTTTGGATAAGTTGATTAGGAGGGGAAGACTTTTGGTTAATGATTCTTCCTATGTAAGTGAGATGCAGATTCGTGCAATTATTTCTAATGTGGTGTCCATTTGCTTACCTTTTGTGGACCTTAGCCTACAGTTTGTTGGATATAAGTTGGGTGATGGTTGGTTCAGTCAGAGATGAGATTGAAGCATGGAAGAAGGCTCTTAGAGATGAGAGGCCTTTATATTTTATTCCTTTGGCTACCTTTTGGATGATACCAAAAGAAAGAAATAGGAGCCTTTTAGATGGTACTACGTCCAACTTTGATGAGTTCAAAGACAATTGGTTCCAGATCTTAAGTTTTTTTATCAAAAGTCATCTTCTTTATTCTTGCCAAGATCTTGGGAACCGTAGGTACAATCGACATATAAATCTTGTATACGTGTTGCACACTCTTGGTACTTGTGAATAGATGATATTTCTTTCATAAAAAACATTATTTGCCTACCTTATCCTATTTATTCTACTTCTCCTTGTATTTCTTCGCATTGATCCCAATTTCCTTCTTCTACTTCTGTACTTTTGATTTTCACTTAAATTTTCTTTATTTTTAAACTGTACTTAGGAGAAGTTAGCTTTCCGCTACTCATCTTACATCAATATCGACCTATGAATTTATGTTTACATGCCAGGTTTAAATTCTGCTTGGACATGGTGGCGTATGTTAAAATATATTTCTCTAACCTATCCACTTAGAACTTTTGGAATACTTGATGATCCTTATATTTCTTCACATTGATCCCCAATTTTCTTCTTCTACTTTTGTACTTCTAATTCTCACTTAAATTTTTTTTTTATTTCTAAACGGGACTTAGGAGAAGTTAGTTTTTCCACGACTCATCTTACATCAGTATCCACCTAAAAATTTATGTTTGCATGTGAAGTTCAAATTCTGCTTGGATATGATGGAGTATGTTAAAATATATTTCTCTAACCTATCCACTTGGAAATTTTGGAATACTTGACTATGCAATCACTTGTTTACTTTTCATATCAAGTGGAAATGATAAAGACCCTTAGATTTGTTATTGCTTTGTTATTTATATAGGCATTAAGACCCTTCTTATGATGAGCAGAATACCATGTTTTAGTTACTTTAAACATAAGAATCCTTTCTGACAATTGAATGCAGCCTATTTCTAAATATCATACTGTACCCACTGCATGATGAATTATTTACCTCTCAGCAAGCTTCTCATCTTGGATGACATCTAGGGCGGCAATGGCAACTGCACTAGCCAAAGGGTTCCCCCCAAAAGTGCTGCGAGTAATAAACAAGTTAAAGCACAGTAAGAGATCTTGCAAGATCGATTCAAAAAGAAATTCAATGGATGCAGTCCAGACTAATAAGAAGTCAGAGATGTTCCAATAGAAACCAATAATAACTTAAATATTGATGTTATATCACCCATCAGCTAAAGCGAATTTAAACAAACTGCTATTTCCTTCTGGTTTTAGCAAAATGTTCATGCCTAAATGTTATCAGATGCGCTATATAAGTCAATATAAACAGGGGAATGGGATAATCTACCGAGTGAAACACGTTTTCTACAAGCATCAACTTCCTAGAATAATTCAGAATTAAAACACTTGCTAGTTTATAGACTTCAATATGCACAACGCACAGTTGAACATTACCCTTCTTAACTATGGAACACTTGCTGTTGCAGGAGAAAGCCCCTGCAACTCTCGTAATCTCTGATGCCATATTACATTACAGCACAAGTTTAGTTGTCTCCAAAACTCATCTTTAGACCTCCTATTGGCAATTCAATTGCATAGACAGTTAAAAGTTGTTCCTGGTTAAACTTTGATATTTTGGTTTCCAATAGAATAACCATCAACATTCAATAGTCTATTTCTTAGTGGTACATTATAAGATGTCTCGTCATAGATCTAGCAAAATCAGACAGCATTTCCAAAAGAAAAGTTTAAGCTAAAGTAGCAACCACATAATACCATTTAAACCTGAATTAATTCAGATGTATCCTCAAAACAATTTCAGAAATTTCCTTTCAGCCATAATGTATCATCTTCCCTCCCACCCCCAAACCGGAGATAGGAAATAGTGAAAGAAAGAATTAGAAGTCTTCTTCCCAAGTTTTTCCCCTAAAAGAAATGGTTTTGCATAAATGCTGGTTATAGTTCATTGTTTCACTTATATATTTTGCATCATTTTTCTAGAGAGAGGGAGAGAGAGAGAGAGAGAGAGAGAGAGGAACTCATATAATTAATGCCACCCTATTCAAACAGCTCCCCATTTTAAGATAAAAAAGGTCAGGGTTCAAGCCCTGAGGAGATGGAGAGACACCTGCCCTAGACAAACCAAAGTAAGAAAATTGGGAAAAAGGCAAAAGATATAGATAAGAGCACCATAATTTATGAAGAAGCCCTGTATTAAATTCCACAACTGGAGACCTTGTGAACTTCCCCTATAGAGCATAAACAGAACTGCCTGGCTGACACTACAGAGGTGATTGAGATCAGCAAGATGCTTGATATTCAAAACACTGAAAACATGAAACCAGTTCAAACCTAGCAACACCCAGATCCCTGTCATCCCGTTCAGATATTTGGATCAAAAAGATATGTTCATTGTCCAAGGCAAATGTAACTTACCTTGGAAAAAAAAATCTGGTTTGTCTGCTTAGAGTGAAAAAAATTCCATTTTTTAAGGTTTATACTTTAAGCTACCTCCTCCCCGGAACTCACCTCAGGCCTTGAGACAGGTGCTCTAGGCTTTTTAAAGCTCCTAGTGATAGAGAGGAAGCTCTGTTTTGGCAATCATGGCAATCCTCTCTCCTACTAAGCTCCTAATGACGGAGAGGAAGTCTTCTGATGTGATTTTTGAAGGTGAAATCAAAATATCCTTAGACTTACATAGAACATGCAGATTTTGGTTTTCCCACCTAAACCTGGAAATTAGATTTTCAAGTCACTGTGTGAACTTTTAGGATAAAAGGGAAGAGATCTTGGAAGCATGCTTTGCAAGGGAATGACAAAGTTCTTTCTCTCTGACTTTCCATGCAACTTTTTCGGACTATTTGGAGAGAAATTAATAGGAGAGCCTTTCAGAAAATTACTCTAATTTCACTAGCATTTAGAGACAGATGGTTCTTGACCTTTGATATTTTGATTAAGGTCAATCTATCCTTCATAAGGAAACTTTAAGGGAGCTCATTGCTTGTACGGCTGAGTCTCCTTGTGGTTTATATAGCTCTTGTACATTGAATGCATCCCCTTGGTGCATCTTACAATTGTTCTTTTTCTTTGCAAAGACAAAAAAAGAAAAGTTGTGACTCTATTGATGCATTATACATCACCAAACCATCAACACATGTATGCACTCTATAATACATATTTGACATGTTTGTGGAAAGATCTTCCCAATCAAGTGCATGAACTTTGGTCATTTAGCTGCTACACATGATAGAATGAGATACTTGTCGCTGCTATGCTTTTGTTTATATTATTGCCTTTATGAACATCAGACATTAAAAAATGTAAGAAAGTAGAAGTTGAGAATGTGAACCTTCCATGCTCTCCAGGTTGAATACAAAGCATTATATCTTTGTCAGCAAGCACTGCACTTACAGGTATCACTCCACCACCCAAGGCTTTTCCTAATATCTGAGAAAGTAATCCAAAAATTAAGTTAGTCAATCTTGGGAAACAAAATTTTTTTCAGAGAGAAGAGTAGAAATATTTTTAAGAAAGCATTAAAGGGGTGTCATTGTGTACTAGATAGGCTTTAAATAATACCAAAAGAGAGCAACATATCTACAACGTTCCCTGGATCCTCTCCAAAGTTAAGAGAATAGCCATTAAACAAAATACTCTAGTACTAGCAAAAAGCGACACAGTGCCTTGAAAAACCCTTTTGTTCCTTTCTTTCCACATCACCCAAATAATAGCCAATGGCGTTAGAGAAATAAATTTCTTCCTAGATTTACAAGCTCTAATGCCATCCCACACCCATAACCCATTGAACCACTAGCCACACAAGACATATAAAAGGTGAATATATTTGGGGGATGCCCCCCCTCACAAACAAATAAGGCAGGCACCCATGGATAATGAAACTGCCATGCTTTCTCAAGTTATCAATCTATCCAAGCAGCTTTTCTAGCAAGGAAACCAATGGGGATGCTTTTTTCTTTGAAAACCTGATTCGAGACGAACCTAAAGGCCACCTCACTTGTAAAAGAAGGTCATGACAGAAGGAATTTACAGAGAACAAACAATTTTTAGTTGAGGATTATAGCGGATGATTACATGCACCAAAGTAAAATGGCAAGACACTAGAAAATTTAATAGAGAAACCATATTATCAATCTCCTAATTATTAGGATTCCTTAATACAATGGTATCCCAGAAGAGAGGGCTAGCACCACTATTGACCATAATATCACTAACCAGAGCATCCCTGTTCCTTGCAATAACAAAAATATTTGAAAACCTTTCTTTGACAAGCGTCTCACCACACTGAAAATCAACTCAAAAACTCGATGTGTAGTAATTACAAAGCCTTAAAAGCATCAAGTCAGTGAAAAAGCTCCAATGCTTACTAAACCATTTCTATATACTAGTGTCATACTTCTGCTTACTCCAACTCATCCTGCAGCCCCTTCCTTCCTTAACCATGTTTGGCAATAATAACGTTACTCCACAAGCCACTTCTGAACTTCCAGAATCATCTAGCCAGTAAAGCCTCGCTCATATTTGTAAGGAATCTTACGCCAAAGTTCCCCAAGCCACCAGGTGCTAATGCCTCTGATCCTCAAAATCCCCTCAAAGGAAATGACATCGCAGAAATTCTACATCTTAAAAACAATTCAAGGAATTGGAAAAGGGAGATAAATAGATAGGAAAGTTGGAGAGAATACTTCTGATGAGCGCAAGCCTGCCTCCTCTCGGGATATGGTTCTTCTAACAAGACAATCTTCTCTACATCTTCAAATATGAAGATCCTTGAATTTAGCCTTTAGAGGCAAAGCAAGAAATTTGAGAGGGAAGGAAGCACCAAACTAGATGAAACATTAGTAAATTCATCCACCCCGACCAGTCACCATATAGGATTTCATACTTATCCAAGTTGATATGGAGGGCTGAATCTGCTTCAAAGCAAACCAGAATGCACCTTATTTTCATCAAGAACTCCTTTCCATGCCTGTAAAGAAATAAAGTGTGAAAAAAAAATGAAGGGATAACCTCCTTTCTAGAGTCACCACTTCTAATGTGAATCTTTCAGTGGAAGAGCCCTCATTGATTAGCACGACATAGGTAAGGGTTAACATACATCTATTAATCTACTTGCCCAGTCTAGGACCAAAACTGACAAATACAACAGAAAAAACTAAGAAATATGGTTATAAGCCTTCTCAACATCGAGCTTATAAAGGCACCTTTCCCCATGTTTAATAATGGAATTCAAAACATCATTTGCGATAAAAGCAACATTAAGAATTTGGTGATCCTCCATAAAAGCATGTTGGACTTCCCCCACTAAATAACCAATCAACCCATTCAATCTTTTGGCAATGAGTTGGTAGATGCAACCCCTGAAACTTTTATATACACCACGCTCTCAACTTAGGGAACAAGACTATGAGAGCGAGATTCAAGGAGGCCACAAATTTTATGGTCTTGAAGAAGCATCAAGAAGCTTCATGACATCGCCTGGGGTGAACTCCCACCATTTTTGCCAAAAAGCCATAGAGATGGGCACCAAGAGCCTTGTTCCCATTAGAATTCAGGAAAGCCACTTGAACCTCATCTAGGATGAAAGCACATCCAAGCGCTATCCTCTACCAAAGCTTGATCATATTAATCTGGAGGCCATCCAAATTCGATCACTTGACTCCCCATCCAATTGCAAGTTACTACAGAATCCTTTAATTGCTTTCCTTCACGAATTCTTAACACCAATTCAACCACCCATTCACAATAAGCTTTCTCATGAATTGTTCCTATTATGGTAGTTGGCCATCTTATAGAAAAATACTCTTATAGTCCCCTTCTTTAATCCACGACAATCTAGATTGTTGTCTGCCAGGAATCTCATCCATAAGCATCCAATTGGCAAGATCTAGTTTAGTAACTTGTCTTCTGCCTCTCGGTCTTACTAAGTCGCAACTAATTTCTTTCATATCTAACTCCTTGATTTCTTTCACTGTTTGCTTTTTCAACTCGGCCTCCCCATGGATTAAGGCAATCCTAAATTGGAATCAATTTGGTATACCAAGGATCTGTGGAATAATTATTACATTCAATGTCTAATTTTTTTGGCAGTTTTAATAATTACAAAAATTAGAGTCTCCTATGTTTCATTTCTTATAATTTCTTTATTGGTTGTAACTAATGCCTATAAAAATGCTAATAGTTATCAACCAAAAAATAAACGATGATGAATTCTTACTAGGGTTTTATCCTTTATTAGTTTTCTTTCTGCTCATTCTTTTGGTTGTTATTCTATCTAATACTATGTTCAATCTATTTCTCCTTGAATTTCTTCAACTTGATCCCCAATTTGCTCTAGTCTATCTCTATTCTTTTTTTTTTTTGAAATAAAAAGTATAGCATATATATTAATAAGGCACTAAAAAACAGGAGGTACCACTCATGTACAAAAATTTTACATTATGTTAGCATATCAATGACATTCCCAAAATCTACATCACTAATAATGTCATGTTTTAAAATAGAACCAAAATAGTGAATTCACCTATCTTTTAATTTATTGGAACTATTCCCAACACTATCAAAAGCTCTACCATTTCTTTTCTTCTAAATTACCCAAAAAACAGTCAAATGAATCAAGTTAGCAATCTCTTTTTAACATAAAGCCCGTCTCACGCCCATAATTCACCCTCAACAGACCCCGCAACAACCCAATCAATCCCCACAAGGCCATAGATCAAGCACCATAAGCTGTACACTAATGGGCACCATAATAAGAAATGGTTGTACAATTCCTCCGCTTGCAAGCAGCAATAACAGCCGTTAACCAACACTCTACCTCTAATTCTCAACTTGTCAATAGTCAACATTCTCTCCCAACAAGCCTCCCAAGCAAAAAATGCAATACAGGGTGGAGCTTTTGTTTTCCAAATTTGCTTCGCTGGAAAATTATGTCTCGTCACATTCACTTTACTACTAAGATGGTTATGGTAAGACTTGACTGAGAAATTGCCACTTTTTTCAAATTAGCATACAATCCGTCCGTTTTTTTGTCAACCACCTGCCCGGCCAGCATATTCATCAAATCCTCATATTCGGCATCCTCCCAATCATTCAAATTCCCAAGGACATTGATAGACCATACAATTTTATTATTAGCAGTCCGGTAAGCTTCTTCGACAGTCATCTCCTTTTATTGTGCAATTGACAATTCGGGGAATGTGACTCTTTAAGCAACCCTCCCCAATCCAATCACCCTCCCAAACAATGATCTTGTTACCTCTTCCCAATTTCCAAATGACAAGTTGTTGAAAGTTGCTCCATCGCATTAGAATTTTTCGCCATAAGCCTCTACCATGAGATAAGGGAAATCTGCTTATAACCCTCCTATCCATATACATACCCCATCCAACATGAATTATTTTCCACCATAGACAATTTTCTTCTTTCAAATATCTCCAAATCCGTTTGCCTTGAAGAGCTAAATTCATATTGACCATGGATTTAATACCAAGACCACCATAGATGATTGGTTCCTTGATATCCTCCCATTTAACAAGATGGTACTTTCTCTCTTCGTCACTATCCTCCCAAAGGAATCTGCACTGAATTATTTCAAGTTTCTTCGCCACTTTGATAGGAATGGTAATTGTCGAAAGATAATATATAAGGAGATTAGCCAAAGTGCTTTTTATTAGGGTGTGTCTTCCCCCTTTAGATAGAAAATTTCTCTTCCAACTTGCTAGTCTTCTTTCAAACAAATCAATAACCGGTTCCCAAGATAATTGGTCTTTATACTTAGCACCAAGCAGGAGGCCGAGGTACTTGAATAGTCTATCTCTATTCTTTTCCTTGCCATCTAAGTTTCCTTTACTTCTAAGTTATTTGTGAGGCAACCTAATTTTGCCACTACTGATCCTATATCAGTTAGTATCAAAGCCTTACTATTATGCTTAACTTTTCACCAAAATCTATTGCATAAGAAATCAAGTTTTCTTGCCAGGCAATCCAACTAAAATAGATCCTTCCCAAAAAGATCTTCTCAAAAAGGATTGCAAACAACCACACAAGCCAAGTCTGGCAGCTGCATCCCACTAGCACCACTGGAAGGTGGTTTTGACCACACCAGACATCAAGTTCAAATAGCTCCAACTTGCCTCCCTGCCAATTTTCGGCTGTTGATTCAGCTACAAAATGTCACACTTGTTGTCAAAAGAGAGAACCACCACTGCTCTACCATATTTCTGCCTTCCCAATCACCATATACAACTTGCAAGATGAGCCTTACATCAGAAAACCGACCCTCACTAATGACTGGAGACCAACTCATGTTTCATGCACCCTAAACCACGAGTGTGCTTTGGTTCAACTTACACTATATTGTGACTGGTTCGCTAAATTTAATCATACAAATTCTCCTAAACCAATTCGAGCCATTTTAGACCACCTTCCACAAGTTCAAACTGATTCTTAAACTTCTCTAGCTGGCTTTACCATTTTCAATTTAGTTTGATCAGCTAAGCACATGTACTTTTGAGCAGCTTGTGTTTAACAGCGATAGTATTAACATGGAATCAA